CTTATCTCCAATTTTTCTTGTCTTGTGAAATCTATGATTTAACACTCTTGTGAGTCAATTGCCAATCTATCATAGTAAGCAAACGCTCTAAAATTTCACAAACGATCTCCATGCATATACAACCCCGATGGGTCGACAGGCTGTAGTGAAATGCTTTTTCTAAAGACATGCAATCTCTATTGGCAATTGGAATGCTCACTATAGCTTGACATCACCGTTTCTTTTTTTTATGACTGTGATGCCTTGGTTTGCCCCTATGAATCTCCTTGGCTATCCATCTCTATCGTTTGCAATTATACTTAACCTAGCAATTAAAGCTCAATCAAAAACATCTTGATCGTAAGGTATTTGGCATTTTGTTCTTTACTCGATGCGTATTTGACTTTTGATTTATTTTTTTCTCCCTTGAAATTTAATACCCCCTTTTAGTATAAAGACTTCTAATCTACCTCTTTTTACTTTACCAAAGTCCCTTCCACTCACGAGCTTTACTTCTAGACTTCTAGACTTCTAAATTCGACGCTGTATGTAAGAATTAATGGGAATCTACCCCCCCTATTACCTTCTCTCCCTTGCTCCTTGGACTTCCCCGCTTGTGCGAAACATAGGGTTAGGGCCCCGGGATTCCCAAGACATACGATGTCCGAAAATGCTGACAATAAGTGGAGACGGTATTACATTGAAGAACTGAAAATCAGTGTGTTGATTGATGGGGCAAAGGAAGATTTTAAGGACGTGTTAGCTGATACAGAGTCTTTGATTGTCATTTCAGATTTCCTTCAGAGTCTGCGTAAGGGGCAGAAGGTAAATTCTCTTAATAGATTTAACCCTTAATTATAAAATAACAACTGATAAGCAAAGGGTCTAAAGACGAGAGGAGACATGAAAAGTAGGGAGGATAATGAGCAGGTAGTTGCTCGGTATAATGACATAGGAACAGTCCTCCTCCAGTAAATCCTACCTTTACACTAGTACAAAATGCTCGTGACTAACTTGCCCAAAGGAGGCCTTCACATGTTCCTAACCCGAGCACCACCGCAAAAGACTCGACTGAACACTTTACTATCAATATATTTCCAACCCACCAGACTATGACTGAAGCCACGAAAAACATTGGCAAGGTCCACCTTTATGAGAAAGACGCTATGCGGAACGGTGGATACTGTTGTTACTTTGTTACTGATGTTGCCAAGAGAATTGGCCCGGGTTAATTTCAAGCATTAACAGCTGGACATAAGACTACGACATCCGACTGGCCTGAAAAGACTATTCTATTTAAGAAAGCAGAGTACTGATTGTTAGATCGAATTTGTATTATGAAATTGTGTACCGTATTTGCGGTTTGGGAGCTTGTAGTTAAGTGGTAATGAGTGGGTCTATTCTTGAGTGTGGCTTGACTTGTATGTGAGAATGGAAGATATACATATCCACCACGATCCGGATCAAGTAGAATTTTCGGAATGAATGTCTAGCGAATGTCAATTATAGAGAACTAGCAATTCCCTAGTTGCTACCAAATTAAGAGCCACAGCTCAAAATCAACTCCTCAGAATGGCGCAAATATTACGCTACCTGTTACTGCAAGGTAGTTACATTTTCCACGCTGTTTGGACCCCTTGACTATGACTACTCCGATGTGTGGGTATTGCGTTCTTGCGACTATGTTTGCATTGAAGCAGGCGTAGTCTTGCAAGCCGAAACGGTTGCCATGCTATACTAATTTTCATGTGGAGTGTTGATCTCGCATACGGTGATGTCGGGGATAATTGAATGGGGCCATCAGGAGTGGTGGATACGAGAATATTCTTACGTACGAACCTAGAATTCTTGAAGTCGGAGGTACTGTATTGTGAGGAAGGTGTAGTTTGGTAACATTATAGCAGGATTCTACCTAGTGATGATTAGCTGCTAGTTGAGACTTCATGTCACCCGGAGGGGTTTTGGTTATAGCATAAAGGACCATAATTTCCGCTGCACTAAGTGGTCAGAGCTGGGCCAAAGTGGATGTACAGGATATTACGACTTCCTTGATAGTCGCCCTAATGGGTAAAATTGGTGTTGCGCCTGGTATCTGCCCATTCTAGGCCCGAAAGCTGAAATTCCTTGGGTTGCCACACACCATAAGTGAAATTTGCGACTATGATTATCATACCATGTGCATCCCTTACCCCAACGTTGATGTCCTGTTTATCCTATTAAATGAAAAACTATGTTAATATACCAATAGGCCATATCCTGTCTCATCATACTTTTTCATCGCCAACCACCACTTTGCTCAACGTACACGTCGATCAAATCATCGTTCTGCATCTCCAGCGACAGGGGTGTGTCAGTCTTCAGAATTCTGGATCCCTCAAAATGAAATCGCCGTGTCTTTGGATCGACCTCTATGCTCTTGCAGAATGCAGCCATGACCCTCTCGAGCTTTGTAGTGTATTTAATCTTGAATGTCATATCCTTTCCAGCTTGATCTTTGACTCTGATCGCAAGCGTCTCTGGCCTCGGGGTTTCCACGGGCGATTGCCCGCTAGGTGGTTCGACACCGAGAGGGTCTTTGTTTGGAGAGGACATTACGAGGGTCGTGCAGGTATTGGTACCGTGAAATGTGGGGAAGGTTAGTTTGATGTTGGATATTTCTAGAAGGATTGGTGGTTAGCCTAGATTGACAGGATGTTGGTGGCGGGCAAGGCTAAGGGGAATTTGGTTCGTGCTAGACCCCATGATTTGGCACTGTCGAAGTAGAAAATACTTACAGGTCTTTAAATCCCAAGTATGCAAAGAATATAAGTATGCTCGACCAGAGTTAAAGTATTCTTAGGAGTCGACTTGTGTGACTCTGCTTCTCAGATTAAAGAGAGATCAGGCTGAGGATCAGCAGAGGAGAAACGAATGGAATGATAGAAACTTTTGACACACTCCGACCATTATGCATATCACAAAGAATGGAAAACGCAAAGCTCAAGGATAGGATGGTAGAAAGACAGGACTTGCAATATCGCTTACTAGGTGCTCAAGGTGTATTGAATATTTTGGTCGTGTTACCATACAAGGAGAGGGAGGACAATCTTCGTCTGCGTAGTCTGTGAAGCTGATGACACAGGCGAGCTGGCGGTCAATTTTCAAGCTAATTGATTAAATCTAGCGTGTAAGTAATTGGTTTATGATAAATAGCGAATGGGGACTGTTCTAGTTCAATTAAGGTTGTTTACTCGTTCAAAGTAAGTGGAGGCTCCTTGGTCATTGCGGGGAAACGGCTCAGAAACCCGGAATCACGTGATGCCAAGACACAGCGAAATTGCCTTTCCTTGTCTACTTGACAAGTGCAAACAAATCATTCTGTTCTTATTCTTCTTTATTTCTTCCCCCCCTTCCCCCCCAACCTACTTCTTGGTCACTGTGGTGTAAAATCACTATATATTGCTTGGCTGTTGGATTATAAGGGCGAGAGTCTATTCGCTTACCGCTCCGTTTGTAACACTTTATTGTTGTTGTCTTGTTTGCATGGAGGCATCGGAAACTTGTAATTAGCACTATCTCTTCCGTTGAATTTTGTGTCTATTCCATCCCTTGTCGCTCCTTCAGTTCGTTAGCTCCACATCTTGGGTGTTGGTTCTGTGGCTCAAGTATCATTGGAAGATGTTGACATATGCAAGAGTAACACCCCACGAAAACCTTGATCACATTTCATGGACGTTTTCTGATATGTGACTACAGGTGCATTTTCGTAGACGCTGTAAAGCAGCCTTGTACTTAGATGGATCGTTGAGCATAGAAGAATGCTGAATACATGGGGGTGGAATGCAAGTGTATTTGCGGGGTCCTTCTATTATTATTGATAGATTGGAAAAGGGCAGTGTTCCCCTCTCACCCCCCTTCCCCCAAACAGTAGGAGTCTAAAGACGCACATGAAATTACATTAGCCACTGATTTTGTTACATTTGTGGGTTCTTTAGTTCTATTTTGATTGAATATGTTGTAATACCTATCTACAAGATGATACTGTTAAGTTGTCACGACCAGCTAAAACCCACGTTTACCTAGGCAATCGAGTATCACTGAATTCTTCAATATAACGTAGGTCTTTCGCCAGTGAAATAATAGTATTATCATTCGATAAACTAATCGCTAAGGAAGGAAAGGAAGAGCTTGAGTTTGGGTGGGGTGGTGATAACCCCTCCACCATGATAGAATATACAGCGTGACACAGGTTACTCCTATGCTAAACCCTTACATAAGTATACTGTCATTAAGTATTAGTCTTCTACCGCCTTTTCCACAAATGTTTCATCCTAACCTTTTCTCGGACTATCTATTCAGCAACTTTTCTGACATGGAAAGTGACTTGAATGTCCTCGTAAAGATTTCTAACCACCAATAGAGTGACGGGCCCTGGGTTTAGGGGCAGTCAAGTATAATCTTTCAAGCAGGAGTATGCTCAACTTTTAAGGTCGAAATCCGCATCCCGCGATGGACAAACCCATAACTCGTACTCTCAATTCTGATTTTTTACAAACTCGAAAAGACGGCGCGTTAGTTACTGGTAGGCTAATTAGTACCAATCTTGATGAGTACCCAGTGGAAAAGGTATAGTAGTGTTTAGTGTATAACGAGAATGACTACAAGAAAACAAACATAGAATGATTAGCAGGCACTAGGTTCAAATATAGAGACCATAATTTAATCCTAAATTTTACACGATATGCAAGGCGCTCCAAGAGATAGCAATGGCGATGCGATGCAAGAGAATTATGTGGAGTTCAAAAACAGGTGTGAACGGAAAGTGTTTTTCCTATTCCTTCTCTTTGTGAAACCAAATGGTGACTCACACCTCGACTCACGCCCTTACCTAAACTCCACATCTCCAAAATCTGCAAAATAACGGTTAAGAAATTTAAAGCACAAGTAAACCAATTCAAGGTTGAAAAAAAAAAGGGTCGTTAAATTTCTATAGAAAATATAATATTCTATAAGAATTAAAAAAAAAAAAAAAAAAGACTTTATAGCAACGGTAAGTTTCGATCTTACGACTTCAAGGTTATGAGCCTTGCACGCTTCCACTGCGTCACGTTGCTTGCTATGTTTGATGAGTAAATTCGCTCAAAGTAATTTATAAAACGTGGATGAATTTTGGTGTGGCAACAGAGAATTTGAGGAGGAAAGTGTGAGGGAGGAACGAATGAGTCATTTTTGGGCCGGTGATTTCCCGGGCATGAAGTGTTGGGGTAGAAAGAAACAGACCTCACTTCCAACTCAAATATTTATCTAAGAAGGCTTGCTTTTCTCTCTGATTTCATCTATGTGCATTCAATGTTGAACAATTGGTGCCCATGGATACACTTTCTTCTCGCTTAAACTTTCCTCACTCACTGCTGCCTATGTAGGGGAAACTTTCACATCTAGGGTGATATGGAAATTCATCTAGCATAAATACAAATAAAAAGTTTCCTCGAGGAATTCTATGAGACTATGCGCCTCTCGTTGAATTGTGATTTAATACCAGTGTGGCATGTCATTTATGCTGTTTTAGCACATGTTTGGGGAAAATTAGGAGAGTTCTTGGTGTAAAAATATATATATATAGATTGAGTATTCGATTTAAGTTATAAAAAGCGTTGTATTACTGATAATATCTTCCCGTGCTTAATTGACACTCTTTCTAGAAGACATTTTGAAGTGTTTGCTATCTGTCTGATTTCTAGCATTTGGAAGGTGCAAAGTTTGAAGATCTCGTAACTTTCTGTAAAGCTCAGCGCTTTTAATTTGAAGATTAAAAATATATTTAATGCTAGGTTTCAGAGACTTCTTATATCCTTTTGTGTTCGTACTACAGCTTGTTGATTGTGTGGGGAGCTGAAGGATAGCGTCTCCACGATTGGAGGCTGAAATGTGTATCCAATCAGCAGCTACAGATCAACATGGCACCGCATCATGCAGCACTTCAACCTCATTTTTCTTTTCAAATTCTACTCTTGTATCTCTCAATTTCTTTATGCCACAATACTTCTTACAACTCACCTTAAGCTGCTCAGCCAAGAAAAGGCTGTCATGATGTCTTTCAGCAACGCAAAGGCCTCAGTCAAGGCAATATTTAAGAGCCGTCAGCATCGCGAGAGTCAAAACCAGTCAAAAGAGATACCAGAAGATTGCGATAAGTTTGGTGAGAGGGCGCCTAAAAATGAGAAGCCCCTCACTAATTTATGCTATTTTTGTCAAAATTTGGGACTTACCTACGAGAAATTCATAGCTAACAACGACGGCGAAAATATTGAGAAACCGACGAAGACAAGCCCTGATCCCTCTGGCCTAGGATCGACCAAACTTGGATTTCTAGACGACATTTATGGTCGTAAACACTTGTGTGCATTCTGCAGGCTGGTGTATAAAGCTACCTATAGATCTGAGAGTGATGCGATGCTCGTACCAAAGTCACTTGGAATAAACGGTCTCGGTTACGACTCCCATGGGAACCGTGTTATGTGCAGCATAGACTGGCAACTAGATGGAAGGTTGCAGAATGATTCAAGCGAGCAATCAAAATCTGACGTAGCTTTGACGCGACGTTTGAGGTTCCATAGCAGGGAGGGTGCCTTCCCAGATGCTTATGCAGTTGTGCTTCCAGATCAGATGACAAGGCCGGAAGTTTCATCTCCATCGTTTCTTGGTCGTGTGATTACAAGTCGAGAAATCGATATTGGACGGGCTCGTCGATGGATCTCCCTTTGTCAAAATAATCATGGATCCTTATGCGAGAGTCTCCACCAGTCAACTGTGAATAAGCAGGGACATACTCCGATGAGGATTATCGATGTCGAAGATATGTATATCGTGAAAACGACAACTGAGGTGACTTATGTCACTTTGAGCTATATGTGGGGAAGAAATCCCCTTTTCAGTCTCAAAAAAGAAAACTTTGATCGACTATCGGCGAAAGGGGGCCTAGAAGATGTTTTTGACAACCTAGCTCAGACCATTCAGGATGCGATTCAACTAGTACGAAGCATGAACATTAGATATATATGGATAGATTCGCTTTGCATTATACAAGATGATAAAGACGACTGGGAGAAATCAGCTCCAACCATGGACAAAATCTATGGTAACTCCCTTTTCACGCTTTGCGCAGCAACTGGAAGTGATGCTACAGCGGGATTACCAGGAGCGGTTCCACGTTCTAGGAAACTTGTCCAGCTGCGCGAGAATTGCGCTGGTTTGGATCTTTTGGTTGTCAGACCAGTTGAAAGTCACGTTAAGGACAGTTCCTGGAATTCAAGAGCATGGACATTCCAGGAAAGAGTTATGTCGACCCGGTGTTTGATATTTGTGGATGACCGCGCATTTTTTCAGTGCCGGCAGGCAACGTGGTCAGAAGAGCTTGATTGCGAAGGCTCAACTCCTACCTGGAATTTGGATATGATTGGATCTCCCCTCACAATATTCAATGCAAACCCTCTCCGACGATATAGCACCTGTGTACAACTATATAGCCGTAGAAATTTGACCAAAATTGAGGACAAGCTGATCGCATTCGAAGGTATTGGGAATGTCCTGAGTGTTCCTTTGGACTCCAAACTGTATTATGGACTACCAGATTCGCATTTTGACTGGGCTATGTTATGGGAATTGAGCGAACCAGCTGAGGAGTTATTAGGAAAGGGCTTTCAGTCAGAGTTGTCTGGGAAGGCATTCCCTAGCTGGTCTTGGTGTGGATGGGGTGGTGGTGTCGAATGGAGATTATCCACGACGTCTGGAACTCTAGTCAATATGCACGAATGGATTACTGAGCACACATGGATTGTTTGGTATAAGAGCGTTAACCCTCGAGAGAAAGACATGAAAGGGGCACGAGAATCACATGAACCTGTTTGGCGTCCAGTAGGAAATCCCTTGAAAGCAACTCGTTGGAGTGGGTACGTAGTTGATGGTGACACCCACGGGCTATACGGACGGTCAGCGAATTCAGAGATGGCCATAGAAACCTCAAACCGTGAGCACATACCTCGAGCAGTGCCAATTGAGAGCTGTTTGCATTTTTGGACATACTCGGCCTTCTTTGCTCTTTCTCATATCAATATGTCGGATGCCAAATTCAAGTCAAATCTCCATCCTGGACTACGTCGCTTTGGTATTCATGACTCAAAGGGTGATTGGTGTGGGACGATTATTCTCAAGGAAAGCCAATTAGACTCCAGGGGTCTTCATCCAGCGAATGAGTTTGGCAAGACGTACGAGTTTATTGCCATCTCAGATGCAAAGGACTTTGATCTTGAAGAGTACGACAGTTGGACCTATTATGTTCCTCAAGAACGTGAGCAAGCAGAGTGGTATTTGTAATACTCACTACTTATTCAATGGAATGAGGATAAGACAATTGCAAAGAGATTGGGGTTGGCAAAAATATACAAGGCGGCTTTCAAGTCAGGATCTTTCGCCCCAGGATTGTCATGGAAGGAAATAACATTGGGCTGAAATCTGAAATTGATTAAAAGAACTTTAGATTTTAGTTGTTTACAAAGTCTTTTCAAAGTTATTTAGCTATAGTATTCTGCAAAGGCGCCACTTTGACTTCTAATTTGAGTTTTTCACAGAACCACCTACGAGAGTAGTTATAGGTATGCTAGTCGCATTAATTCATGACAGATTTCTTTGTTATACAGGAGGATCATAAAGAAATCTAAGCAATAATGACCTAAGCTATAGCGAAATATATATTTATTGACGAAGGTGTTCAGGTGAAGTTTGGCGCCAATAATTAAACGCCGAGTTTTCTCCCTTAAGAACGTGAAAGCCTAGCCTTAACCAAACGTACGATCGGAATCTTTGTACAAACTAAAGAGCTCAATGGGTACATTAACCATGGGAGCTTGAAAGGCATCTTCGACAAGATGCAGATCCTATTTGCTGATGGACTTGTTGGTTCCTACAACAACTGATGGCACATCTCATAGAGATCCACCATGTAAAATTAAATTCAAGATGAGATATCGACCGAGGTAGCTAAATCGTGGCAAATAGTGTCTTGAGGCTTATATATGGTATAAAGGCCCGAAGCGTAGGTGTTTTCCCTCCTTTTGGTTCCAGTCTTCATTTCCTAAGCAAGATGGCGAGAGTTCATCCTGTAAACAAACAACCTAAACAGTCACACACTTCAATACTGAAATCAATATCACAGAAGAATGTCAATAGCCCATCTGCGAATCAAGGACAAATCTGGAGAAAGAACAAAAAAGCAGTCAACATACGCAAAGGGACTATCCAGCACTCTGCAACTATCCTCCTGAACTAAAAAAATCCTCTCTGAAGGCTAAAATTCTTACTAGCTAGCAGGCATACCTATTAAACATACGCATCAAGTAATATCAACCCTGGGTACTATTTTTAAATTCTGGGATGTCAGAAGCATGAGACTGGACCTATTTGGGGATCGGCAACGCCACTACCGCGTGTTGTAAGCCATGGCATGAAAAGAGATCGTAGAGATCAAAACGAACAAGATGTGTATGAGGATAAGGGTACAGAGCTCGAAGTACTAGAAAGTGCAGAGGCTATAACTTAGGTTAATATCATCGGGGATCATAGAAGAGATGGAGGAATAAAAACAACATGTTGGCAACTATAGTTTGAAGGATCTGGTGGACCGTGGATACGGACATCAGGATATTGGTAGAACATAAAATGATCCTGTATTGACTAGGATACGGTCCTATCGAAGCGTTACAAATCAATATGGAACAATAGATGAGAAGAAGACCAATACCATGGGGATTGGCCATAAAGTCGCCATTCAGAACAATCACATACAGTGGACTATGCCGAGAAGTCTGACCTCGGAATTGACGAATAAGCAAGCTCTCAAGTGTAGGAAGTCCCACTTGAGACCAGCTCTGCTCCAACTAGCACCGAGTCTGCAGATTTTGCCAATGGAGGAGACACCAGTCCCATTAGCCTCGAGGCAGGCGAAAATCTTGGCGAATAGAGTTTAAGTGGGGAGGAAGTGTAGCAGTACATTCAGGAAGAAAATGATATGCATAATGGCTGGGCTTCCATCTGAATAAAGTGATGCATGCTTAGCCCT